AGGCTGGCCTTGCGCTTGCATTGATCTTCTATGCCAGCCTCCAGAGTGATCCACCATGCCTAGCTACATTGTATGCTTAATTTTTATATCCCCACCATTCGTCTACGAACACTTTTAGGTTTCGTCGGTCTTTGAACATCTGGCATTCAGGGAGGGGATGAGGGAGTGAGGAAGGGATGCTAGTAAGTCAGTTAGATTTAATATTTCAAGACTTTGGGAGACTAGACGACATCATTAGCCACTCTGAGTCAGTTTCCTCCTTTCACAGGGATCTCTATCGCCCCCCCCTTTTTTCTCTTACTTGTTATCATGAAGATCTAAGGAAACAATGTGGGTAAAAGTCCATCCCAACAGTGAGGGTTCACAACAATCTGTTGATCTCCTGCAGCCTTCCAAGCAGGAGCTCAGTAGAGAGCATATAATGAAGAATGAAATGCACCCGTGCCATTGAGAAACCTTAATCTGTTGTGCATGTCATGGACACAGGGGACGTAATTGTTCTCTCTTGTAAGGATGGAGGGGGAAAGCCAGAGAGGTCCTGGCAGAGGCTATAAGAGCCAGAGGAGTGTTTCCTTGGAATGGGTTTGTGAAATGGCATTGTTATTAAAAACACAAGAAACATCTACAGACAGCTCCGGAATGGTAAGGGAGTGGGCCAATCTGGATGAGGTGAGTCATGAGAAGAAAGGTTTGCAGAGAAAATGACGTTGAATGTAGGTCCGGAAAGACATAGAGTATTTTCCCATCCTTTAGGACCCCAGCTAAAGGGAGGAAACTCTAGGCAGCTATAAGATTGGATGAGAAACCAGCATGTCTGTAACATAATGTGTGATGTGAGGACTGCCTGCCAGCCCAGCCTAACCCTGAGGAATGAGTCTGGGTCAGTAGCAACTGAAACCAAGAAACAAGTCCAGAGTGACTGATGGAACAAAGATTCATGGCAGTTGACATCAAAAATGATCAGAGCCAAAGGAATCGCCATGGTTGCATAAAGGAAATCTGAGACCCCAAACCAGGAACTCTTCATGGCTGCAGGCCATGGTGTTGACACAGGGACAGTGGCAGTGTTTCTCAAGGGAAGAGTCCAGCGGCCCAGATGGGTTTGTGGGTGTTGGTATCAGTACCAACAAAGGAAAGATTTAAAACAAAGGCTGACAGACAAGTAAGGGGAGGGCCAGACATTTCAATAGGATAAGTTAGACGATATCACCCATAAAAGCCAGGCAGCGTTTTTGAGTTAAAAGGTTTTAGTTTCTGGTGCTGGCATAAGAAATTGCTTTCTCATCCAATGAGGCCCCAAATAGTGCCCACCCTACTCATCTACCTTGATAGGAATTACATGTAATTATTCTAGCATAGGATTAGAGATAGTTTCTTAACAAAGGGCCTGGGAAGTGGGACCAAGGAATCTGTCCATACTTGGGAAGGGAGCAGGGAGACATAAAATGATTTTGAGTAGTGAAGCCTTATGATCCAGCTGAATCCTAAAGACATCATCTGGAAAGGCAATGGCATAGTTGGTGATGTTTTCTACCAGTAGAATATTAGTTATGAGAAAGGCTAAACTGGCTCAAAGCTGCGTTTGTAAAGGGTAATCAGTCAATGTAGTCCTATGACCAGGATTCATGTAATAAAATTAGACTCTGACTCCCCAGTGATGCTGTGTCTGTGGACCACCCCATCATCCATTTATCGTCATCTTACAGGATGTATATGGATCTTGGGGGATGGATCAGATGGCTTTTCTTCATGAAATAAAAAAATAATTAAAATATAATGACATAATTTCCTCCCTTTATTTCTCTTTACAGTTCTTCCCATGTGCTCTCTCTTGCTCCCCCTTGAAATCATGACCTGTTTTCCTTTGTTATTGTTACACACACACACACACACACACACATAGCTAAATATATAAATATAACCCAATCAGTCTGTTTAGTGTTACTTGTATATGATTTCAGGGATGACTCCTTGGTATTGGTATTGGATAACCAACTGGGAGCTCATACCCAGGGAAGACCATTTCTACCACTCTCGATTGCCTTAGTTGCCAGTAGTTCTTTGTCTAAGGGTGGGGGCCTGTGAGGTTTCCCAATTCCGTGTTAGTGTGACCAGACTGCATTTTTATTAATATTGTATTCTTTTTATTTTAAATAATGTTTTCATGCCCTGTTTGCTTTTGCTTTTGAATCTTTCTTAAATATTCATCTTTTTTGAGATTATACAATAGTTACATCACTTCGCTCTTTCCACCCAGCATTTTTATAAGCCCCTACATGTGTATCTGCGGTGTCATGCAGGTGAGTTTCCAGACACTTAGGTTAATGTGTGCTACTTACTGGGGACAGCCCTCTAAGGCCCAGTCCATCGGAACATTCCAAGGTTATGCTCAGGTCTGACCCCAGGAAGGAGCTCTTCAGTCTCCTGAGATCTGGTGACCTTTGTTCCCTTGTTGTTTATCTCATAATTCTACTTGGCCCCATCTGAAGTGAGCATTGGAGATAAGCCCTCCTAGGGAGGAAGGACTAGGAGCACCCTTGACCCGTTTCCTCTTTGTAGGAAAACCTAGGTCCAGGGTTCAGCATTCTGTTCAGAAAAGATGTTTTCTTTCCCAAACTCAAGCTTCTGTGGGTATATACTCACTTAAAAGGACTAGCTTCTTTATTAAGTTCCTATTAGCTCCAAATACTCAGAACTTTAATCATTTTTAGCACATGCTATGTAGAGATGCACATATAATGTTTGATATAACAAATGCGTATTTATAAAATGAATTTGAACAGTTTACTTTTACTTCCCTGTACTTCATGTTTCTCTGGTTTGACATGTAATGAATGCCTTAAAATTATCAAAACATGGAGGGAGTGCTACAACTTTAGTTTCTTTCTCTCTCTTTCTGTTTTCTGCTTAAGCTCAAGAGATATTTTTCCTTTCTACCTGTTTCAGACTCTAACATTGTAGCTTCTATTTTTTATTCTTCTTTGTACATCAATATTCTGTTATCTGAGACCCATTCTGTCTCATATTTATATGCAGACACTGCCTATTAACAGTGGCAGTGACATTCTGTTCTTTGATGTATAATTCTACAGGGTCATGGACATCTGGACATATTTTAGATAATGTCTTTAGACACTGTTTGTGCTCTAGATCCTCAGTCTTTATATGCTTAAGCCCCATCCCCAGGGCATTCGGAGATAAGGTCTTTGGGAGGTAATTAGGTTTAGATAAGGTTGGGAAGATGGCACTCAGAGCCCTTATAAAGAGGTGAAGAACCCAGAGCATTCATTCTCAAACCATGTAAGGATGCATCATGCAGTCAGCTGTATGCAAACTGGGAAGCACACCTTCAGCAGGAGCCTGCTGTCTGTGCTGATACCTGCTCTTAGACCTCCATGATTGTGAGGAGGTGTCATTGGCTCCTTAGAGCATCCATTCATGGTGGTTGGCTATAGTTGCTTGAGTCTGAGACATGAGCTGTATCGGGATGCACAATGTGACTCTTTCCTATTATTCTGAAACACCCATTTCTGTCCTGCTGATCCCAGTGACTGATATATATATATATATATATATATATATATATATATATATATATATTATGTGATGTGTGCATGTTCCTACTTATTGGTATCAACCCTATTATCAGTAAAAATAGATTGCACTTTAGTAGTCTAGCCTTACAAACTTAGTAACCTACAATATTTTATTTGAAATAAGACAAAAAGGAATCAGAGAACTATTGGACATATAAAGTCAGTAGCAGTATGAGTGAGAGTTGGAGACAGCGCCATGCTGCAGCTGCCTAAGGGCTTTTTTTTTCACAGATTCCCCAACTCAGGTGAGGCTGGAATTCTTGACTTCACCATAAAAGAGTTCCAGAACAAGTCAGTATGCAGCAGAGTTGGAGTTTACTAAGCAAAGATTTTAACATAGGTTTAAGTATGGGCTTGAATACAAAGAGTGGTGTTTAGGGCAAAGAATAATACATAGCCAAGTGTGGGTTCAAGTTTCCCAAAGACAGAATCATACATACTTCACAATCACCATGCATAAGACTTTGAAGGTCCATTCTGAAGGGGTTCTAAGTCTACTCCTTTTCAGTAAATGAGATGGTAGGGTGGTTCTATGGGCCAAGATGGGGTGAAGGAATGCTTACTATGTGGGGTCACAAGGGAGTTGAGGCATGTTTTCATTGTAAATGAAGCTTATAGTCTGATGGGAGATTCACAGAAAGTTACCGGTTTTACAGCTGGATCATAACATGGCCATACTCAAAGGTTAAAGCCTCTTGGGCCTTAAGGATGAATTGTTGCTGTTTTAACATTCTTACTTGAAACATCTCCATGAAAACAGAATATAGTCTGTATGTAATCAATCTTCATAGCAAATTCTGCTGTTGTGTTGGCATTCTCAATTCTCAGCTGGTGGGACTTTACCTTCTAGAGGGTTCCTTTCCTTTTGTATCTCCCCTGAACTTATCTCTGTCTTTCTACCCTGGGCTCAGGATTAGTCTTTCCTGCCCACAGTCCCTGTTCACATTTTTGATAACTTACTTGCACCAGGCTTAATTCTGAAACTAGCCATGCTCTATCTAGAGAGGGAAATTAGCCTCTGGGTGTGTTGGTTTTCAAGTCTAGATTTGGCTTCAGATACAACAAAAGTAGGAAAGAAACAAGGAAATTACACCATTAATTTCTCCATAAGCACAAGTCCCTTTCTGAAGTTTGCCTAACCTCGTTGCAGGTTGAGATGAGGCTTAAATGTATTTCACGGGAAATGTGCGACATAAATGTAGAGGGGATAGGAGTTGGGGGAGGGAGGGCTCTACCATGCACAACTATCAGAGGATAAGAGAGGGTGGCAGACTGGTGAATACAGACAAAAGTACTGAATCCATTGTTATTTAACTCATTAAACTGTAAGTATATTTAAAACAAAACCAACCCAACAAAAAGCTGTTCAACCCCAGTGGATTTAACGCAAAACTCAAATTCAAATTTTTAAGAAATATCTTTAATTTTTTTATTTCTGTGAACTAATTATTCAATAGAGAGAAAGAGAAGCTGAGGAAGCACACATTTAAAAACACCACATTGGCGAATTTAATGAGAAGTCTATACTTTTGTTGTTGGGCTGTACTGAAGAATTACAGCAGGCTGAGTAGTCACAGTTCTGGCAGTGCATTTGTATCAAGGATAATTGCTTTGCCACTGAAGGATGAATATCTCTGAAATAGAAGAAATATAATTACAAGCCTTACCATAGTTTCAAAAGGGCTCAACACTTCTCAGCTCCTGAACAAACTCCATGACCTTTGTCAAACAAGTCAAAATGTATTTTCCTCTGGGAGGTAATTTGTGTTCAAGATATCACAGAATGGGGCTCAAAGATCAGGCAGTGTCATTGTTATGCACAAATCTAGCATCTTTAGAAATAAATAGAATACGCTAAAAGCCAATCATTCATTTCAACAATATGCTGTAGGGAATTTCTTCTTGGAATGGCAGGGGGCAGAGGGAGAGAGAGAGAGAGAGAGACAGAGAGAGAGAGAGAGAGAGAGAGAGAGAGAGAGAGAGAGAGAGAGAGAGAGAGAGAGAGCAGAGAGAGACAGAGAGAGAGAGAGAGAGAGAGAGAGAAGTTAGGTGCCCACATTAGGGTTCACACAAATACCTGTAACTCTGTTTTTCCAGGGGGATCCAGCAACAACTGCTTCTGGCCTGCAGGAACCCTACACGCATGTGAATGTCTCTGCCTCCCAAATACCTTGATTACTGTGCATGTGTCTCCATTCCTGGCTTCTATAGTGAATTTTTTTTTGCACAGCTATAATCTAGATGTGTCCACAAATTCATGCGTTGGGAAACTTACCCCCAGTGCAGCATCCTCTGGAACCAGTAATGTAGAGCATTACCAGGAACTGAGGGGGACAGAGGGTGGCAGCTGAGAAAGATCATTGGTTTGTTTGTATTCTCAAGAGAGACAGCTTGTGTCATTCATTCTGTTTTCATGTCAGGTCGGTTTCCTGTGGTCAATATTTAAAAGGGTGAAAAGGGCTGGAATTAAAGTTCAAAGGTAAAGCCCTTGCCCAGCATGCATAGTTTTTTTAAATTTTATTCCCCAACTCTACAACAAGGAAAGGAAGAGAAGAAAAGAGGTTGGGAGGGCAAAAGAAAAGAGAAAGGAAGACTGTATTCTCTCCATCTGATACCCTCTTTGCAAGTCATTTAACAACAATCCATTCTTCGTCTGACCCAGATAAATTTTCAAGTATTTATTCATTTGTATTTGTATAATGCGTTTAGAGGGATGGATGGGTTTACAGGTGCATGTGAAAGTCTCATGTACTAATGTGGAAGTCAGAGGACAACTTCTGAGGGTTTGTTCTCTCCTACCATGTGGGTCCTGGGGATGGAACTCAAGTCCTCAGGCTTAATGGCAATGCCTTTACCTGATGAGTCATGCTATCCCTACCAATTTCAATCATTTTCTAGTTGGGCAGACACTGACTTAAGTCATCAGTGATGGCCCAAATAAAAACAAGACTTAAGAACTAAGTAGAAAGCATACAATGGAATCCAGGTGTGGTGATGTTCAAACCCAAGTACTCAAGGGGTGGAGATTGAAGGAACACCACAAGTTTGAGGCCATACTGTTTAACATAGTAAGTTCCAGGCCAGCCTGGGTCACATAGCAAGACCATGTCTCAGAAGGACAAAGCAAAAGTGTAGAGAGTAGGAATGAATGAAATATCCAAATGTCTATGAATATATAAATTTACCTTTTAAAGGATAGTGGTTATTAAAGTGTATTTTAAAAATACTAGCTAAATTACCAAGACTCAGAAGAAAAACTGGAAGAATGATGCTTTTTTTAGTGCTGCCATTCTGAGTCTAAAGGTGATTTTTCCTACATTGGCTGTTCTCCTTTGACCCTGTTAATGGGTGGCTTGGGAAGCTGTCAAATGCCAGTGGTGGTCAGACAAAGAGAAGATGCCCTACCAGCTATACAAAGGCTTTGTAACCAGGACTCAGGTCCTAGTGGACATAATGATGGTTGGAGTCTGTGTCAAATCAGAATGCTAGGTAGACCAGCAAGCCCTATTGGTGGTGACTTCAGTCATCTGAAATACTGTGTGACTGACAACCCAAGTCTTTTGATATATTCACTCAAATTACTGAGATTCCCTCAAAGTGCTTTCATTTGTTGTAGACATTTTCATGGTTTTATACATATGCACAATGGTTATACACAAAGCCAGTGATGATATAATGAATTTTCATGGAATCAATTTCAAAAACAATGACTTAGAATTCTGAAAAAGTCTTTTCACAGGTCATGTCTCTTTGTTGGATGTGATGTGAGAGATGAAATATAAAGCATGGAAAATATAAAAATAAAAGAGTTAATGCTGACAGTTTAAAATATTGGGGAGATGGGTAGAGACATGGATCAGTGGTTAATACCACTTTCTACTTGTACAGATAACTAGCATTTGGTTCCTAGCGCCAACATCAGATGACTCATAACCACCTAAATCTAGTTTTAGGGATTCAATGCCCTCTGCTAGCCTCCATAGGCATTGTACACATGTGTTGCACACACGCACATCCAGGCACATACCCATACACACAAAATAAAAATAACCACAACTGTAAAATAAAGCAAGAGCAGGGAAAAAGGGAACTGAATATAAAAAGACAATGAAAACCTACAATAAACATTCAACATATACATATTGAAGTGTATTACAGAGGTTATCTGTAACAATTAGACAGTTCTCACACTCCTTGACTTAGGCTAAGTCTTGCATTGAAATGAAAAGCTTGTACTTTCAGGGAAATACTCTCCTTGGATATTATTTTCACATTTATTTTCTATGTGGCTCAGCTCTTTGAAGTTATTCAATATGTACCCGCATGAGCACTCCCTATTAAATTTTCCATCTTCTGTGCAATGTTCTACGTAACCTTGAACACAGGAAATTGATTATGTATATATGATCTCACACAGATCACAGCTCTGGCAGAAATAACATGGGTGATCAAATAGGAATGCTAACACCTGTCTTCCTTCATCATTGTTTCCCAACTAATCAATACCTCCTTTAGGCAAATGCAGCTTTAGTTCATAAAAAGATTCTGGAATTTCACTGACTAGAAAGAATGATAAGTCACACACTTGATGCAATAAGTCCAATAAGTCTTTAATTTTTATTTTATTATTTTATGTGTGTATATGTTTTCTCAATTGCCTGTCTGTGTCCCACATGTGTGCAATGCCCACGAAGACCAGAAAAGGGTGCTGAAATCCCATGAAACAGGAGTTATCAGTGACTGTGAGCTGTCATGTGGGTGCTGGTAGTCAAACTTGGGTCCTTTGCAAGAGCAGCCAATGCACTTAACCACTGAGCCATCTCTCCAGTCCCAATTGATGCAATACATTAAGGGGGAAAACATCTGTTTAAAAATGCATCTGCACTGTGACAGACACACATTCAAGTGACAGACACACCTGCACTGTGACAGACACACCTGCACCGTGACAGACACACCTGCACTGTGATAGACACACCTGCACTGTGACAGACACACCTGCACTGTGACAGACTCACCTGCCAGTGACAGACACACCTGCACCGTGACAGACACACCTGCACCGTGATAGACACACCTGCACCGTGACAGACACACCTGCACTGTGATACACACACCTGCACCGTGACAGACACACCTGCACTGTGATAATCACACTTGCATTGTGATAGACACACCTGCACTGTAGCAATGCACTATGGAACTGAAACAGGAACTTGGGGTTTGATTTTGCTGGATAGACTTGGTTCCTCACATGGGTTCACAAGGCAGTTGAATACACATGGAAGCCTGGTGTCTCTGCTCTCACTTTCTGTCTGTTCCCTTGACTTTGGGGTTGTCTGCTTGCCAGGGTCTGTTAACTGTTCAAGACATGTGTATCCAGTTCATGACTTCCTTCTTCTAGGCTCAAGGTACAGAGAGAAGTCATTGCTCTGATCTGCATTAGCTTTGGATTTCAAGAATAGCAAATCCCTGGAAATATGCTATCCCCATTCCCATGAGGGCAATTATCTGTAAGAACGAGACCACATCCAGGAGCAGAACTAACCTCCTGAGAACCACCTTGCCCTCCATTCACTAAGGACATGGACCACCTTGCAGGAACAAAGCTGACAGTCTGGTCAAGAAAGCAAACCACATCTAGGCCAGGACTGCTTAATTATGCATGCCTCTTGCCCACCTTGCCCCAACCCAAAGCTCATGTCACTACCTCAAGACAGACTTGGGGTCACTGAGAACCTTTATTTGTGCCCCTTCCCAGTGTGGCTGCATTGAATAAATCTCTCCGTGTTTGCTCAACTCTTTAATGGGACATTGATCAAGCCTAGTCTGTCAGACACGCTAGAATTTGGACTTCCAGCATTGAAAATCTTAGGTCACAAATTTCATTATTTTACCTTAGAGTTGATTTAATTTTATTTCCAAATTCTGGTTGCAACCCACTGGATGTAAGCTGTAGGAAGCCAACTGGTCCCACCTGGGTTGCTCCTTAGTGTCACATTGAGTCTGTGCCTGTGGAACCCAAGGGACTCTCCTGTGACCAACTCATGGAAAGATCTGGCCAAGGAGAAATTGCTCTTCTTAATGTTTCCTTAAACACATGAATCAATGAGTTTTTATGAATTTCATATTCACTTTAACCATAATTTCAGCATTTTTACTGCTTTCGTGGTACAAGATCCATTCTTTGATGAATTTGGTCATTGCTTGTATTCCTTTTATGGTCTTTCTTTATCAGAACACAAATGGGAAAAATGAATAATTTATTCAGGAGAGTTGGCTAATCTTAAGGGTATCCACTTACAATTAGTATCTCATGTTTGCAATCCTCTTTACATAAAATTGCTTTTATCATTAGCAGGGGTCTTTCAAAATCATTTTTAAGTCAGGTATGGGGGTGTATGCCATAAGGGAGGTTCTCAAGTTCAAAATTAACCTGGGCTGTACAGCAATTCCGGGTTTACACAGTGAGACCCAGTCTCAAAAAACAACCAACCTCCGCACCACCCACCTTAAAAATTCTCACATTGTGGAGTATAAAACTGATGTTTGTAGAGGAAATTTAAGCAATGAGTATAGAACTGATGTTTGTAGAGAAAATCTAAGTTATTTCATATAGATTTGTAGTTGACATTATAGAAAGATCTTTATCAGAACCTCCACTTTCTGTTATCGTGATGAGTCCCTTACATTTGGCCAGGAGCTTTGAGGGCATCAGCTCAATTTATCATCACTCCATCTCAAGAGAGCAGTGCTGTCACAGGAGAGTCCAGACAACAGACAGTTCACGTCTTCTGCTGCCTGACTGGTATCCATCTGTGCTGTTTGTTTTTCTGAATGTTCTTAAGAAGCACACTTCTCAACTGAAATCAGTGTTCAGCAAAGGGTAAACAGAAAGCACTTAGACTCCTTAGTTTCTCTGAGTAATTACTCACAGGCTAATTCTAACACTTCTCTGTGCTCTGTTCAAGTACCATTCGAGTCTATGAAGAAGGAGGAGGAGAAGAAGAAGGAGGAGGGGAAGGAGGAGGATGAGGATGAGGGAGAGGAAGAGGAGGAGGAAGAGACAGCCTGGTACAATATCATCTTCCAGATCTTTTAATGGCTCAAGAAATAAACTCAAACATATTGTCCATGAAGCTTAGAATTTGTCTTTCGAAACAGAAATTCAGGCATATGAGGAAAACACTGCTTTGACCCTTAGTGTTATCACTTGTGTTTTGCAAAGTCTCCTCTGGGAGTCAAATGTGGCATCACTACCCAGACTTACATTCACACTGAGATTTAAGGCTCATTAAAGGGAAGAGTAACCCAATAGCATCCCTACCAGCATAGCCCATAAATGGATAGTCTCCTTGAAAATGATGACGGGACAGCCCTCAATACTGGAGCAAACTTATGTAGTCATTGTGGGTGCAAGTATTTCAAACCTGGCTCATCCATTTACCCTTTTAACTCTCTTTCTGCTGGATACAGTAAAATGAGGAAAAATTCAATAGTTCATGCCACCCTTCTTCTGTCTTCATTTTCATGGACAGGGAAGCTGAGGCATACGTGAATTTAGCTTGTCACTCCAGACACAGTACCAGTAAGAAGGGAGCAAGGCTGTGAAATCCAGGCACATCTATAATCAGAGCATGTCACACTCTCATGTGAACAGAAATTAGCTAAGATGCCTTGGATTGGACTAACAGAAATACTGTACATGGTGTGAGGGGAATACCTTATAAACACCCCTTTTCTTTGCAACTCTAGAGGTTAGGGGAGCCACTATTTTTCTAGTTTGATCTTGTAATTCAACGAGGGAGGGAATACAGACCGAGTATCTGATGACGGCCTGCTCTTGGATGGTGTAGGCTGAGTACCATTCTTGAAGGACAGAGTGAACTAGGGATGGGGGTATATCTCAGGTGCAGTGATGCCTACTGTGTGCAGTGCCAAGGCCCAGAGTTCAGTCCTCAGAATTTAAAATAAGATTTCATCCTGCCAGCACATGTGGCAATGGTCGCCTGTAATTCCTGCATTTGGGAGGTGGTGGCAGGGACATAGGGGGTTCAAGGACAGCCTCAGCAAAATAGTGAAATTGTCCAGACTGAGCCATATAAGATCCTGTCTCAGAAAGAAAAAAAATCACATAAACAACAAAGGAAAGGGATAGAACCCCTTGGGTATTAGTTTCTTTCTTTCATTCTTTTTTTTCTTTCCTTCCCCTTCCTCCCTCTGTCCCTTTCCCTCCCCCCTGCCTCTCTCCCTCCTCTCTTTTTCTTAATTTGCAATACAAACCCAAGGACTCACAATTGCTAAGGACAGTGTCACTGATCCACACCACCAGTCAGCCCATCAGTTTCTTTTGTAAGAGGACAAATCCCATATGGTTCAGTCCATTCTCAAAGGTCCCGCCCTCCTCTTAATGCTATGGACTTGGGCCTTAGTGTTTCTTCTATATATGAATCTTTAGAAGAAGCAGATATATTTAGACCTTAGCAAAGGATATACACAAGAAATTCAGCAGAGGGTTTTTAATTCTGTTTAGTAACTGTCAATTAAAAAGATGAGAATGCTTCTGAAAAACAATATCTACTTTTATACCATATATTCAAATGTGACCAAATAGTTGGTGGGCTTTTTGTTTGTGTGTTTCTTAACTCATTAGAGATTGACTTTTTCAAAAGAAGAGATGCTATCTACAGATTTGAAAATGATTGCAAGTTATTTTTAAAGCCGGTGTCACAAACTGACTATTGTTATGTAATATTATTTTAACTAGGCAAAGATGTGTTACATTTGTTTATGCTGTGGAATGTTGATTTTACTGTGTAAAAGTGTGTTACTTTTGTCTATGCTGAAGCATTTGTTTAATTATTTAAAGATATACTGTGTTTGTTTCAACCTGCCTGCCTAAGGCATCTGATTGATCTAATAAAGAGTTGAGTGGCCAATAGCTAGGCAGAGAAAGGATAGGTGGGGCTGGCAGGCAGAGAGAATAAAGAGGAGGAGAAATATAGCTTTGGGAGGAATGAAAAAAAGAAGAGGAGGAGAGAATGGGGAAGATGCCCGGGGCCAGAAGCCAGGCAGACACAAGAAACAGAGAAAGTAAGTTATACAGAAGGAAAGAAAAGTAAAAAGCCCCAAGGCAAAAAGACAGATAAAGAGAAACAGGTTAATTTAAGCTAGAAGAGCTAGTCAGAAACAAACCTAAGCAAGGCCCAGCATGCAAAATTAATAATAAGTCTCTGCATCAGGATTTGGAAGCTTGTTGGTGACCAAAATGAAAAAGCCTGATACAGACTATATTACATCAGAAAGGTTAAAGCAAGTGGGGACTGATCTATCAATTGTCCTATGTGATCAGTGTGACAGCATCCCAGGAGCACTTGTTGGCTCCACCCTAGACATGACATTCAAAGCTCAGGGTGGGGCCCAGAAATCTGCCTAAGGTAGTAATTCTGATGGATCCCAATGGGTTTGACTGGATGCAGCCTTATCACCTGTTGACTGGATGCAGCCTTGTCACCTGTTGCTAGAAAGCACCTTCAGACTCTTTGAGAAGCTTTCTGATTTTTCAAAATTTGCCAAAGTTACCAATTTGTAGTCAATTTGAAGATATTGTAGCAAACAGCTTGCTGATGAGTTTGGACTCTAACTCAGTTCCCTTATTGTTACTCTCTGCCCCACCTCTCTGAATTTCTGCTCCTTACCCCTTCTCTGTCCTGTCAGAATTTAGATAGAAAGAACGAACTCTTATGAGATGTGAAAAATAAGATATACTTCCATAGCTATGGAAAAGTTGCCATTGACTCTATAGACCAAGATCCTTATGGGAAGCTTGAGGTGTTTCCTGATGGGAAGCTTGAGGTGTTTCCTGATGGGAAGCTTGAGGTGTTTCCTGATGGAGCAGGAGAGACGATGGTTCAGTGGTTAAGAACGCTTGCTGCTCCTACAGGGGACCTGCATTTGATTCTCAGCACTCAGATTTAGTGTCTTACAAGTGCTTGTAACTCTAGTTCCAGGATATCCGACACCTTTGCGGCCCTCCGTGTGCACCTGCACCTGTAATGCACACATATACACACAGGTGTACATATTAAATAAGTAAGTAAAAAAAAAACAAAAACTGGGTGTGGTGGTGCGAACCATTAATCACAGCCATTCTGAAGCACAGCAGATGGATCTCTGTGAGTTCCAGGCCAGCCAGGACCCAGTCTCAAAAGAATTTTTTTCTGCCTAGATCTTTGTGTATATATTTATCTTTTCTCTTCCCTTTTGCATCTCAGGGAGCCCAGGGGTGTCTCGCCCTTTCTTTAGCGTGTCTCACAGTTCACAACTTCGTGATCTGTCATCACACTGCACAGAGAAAGAAACAGAAGGGCGAGTCAAAGCCACAAGCAGCGAGTGGCAGAGAGAGTGTGGGATGCCAGAGTGCGGGATGCCATTCCCTCGTGTCCTGCGAGCTGTGAGCCTGATTTCCATGCTCCAGTTCTCATCGCAAGGGGCAATTCTGAGGCTGCCTCCGCCCCAGGACTCCTGTGTGATTATTCAGATTGTTCCAGATGTTTGGGTCTTTTTGTTTTCCACTTAATTACTTTATTTTCTATTTTCTCTGTCTCAGAGATCTCTGCTTCACCTTTCTAATGTGGCTTTTCACCCTGCTGTCATTTCTGCCTTCAAGTATTCATGCTTTCTGGGATTGGCAAGATGGCTCAGTGTGTAAAGGTGATTGTTGTCAAGGCTGATGACCTAAATTCAGTCTCAGGAACACACATGGTAGAAGGAAACACTGACTTGTGCAAGTTTTTCTCTGACGTTCACAATTGAGAATGTACATTGGGCACATACACACACACACACACACACACACACACAAATGTTTTTTAATTAAGGAAATGAAGAGCCCTTTATTATCCTCCCACTTGTAGAGTTTTTGCTATTATTAGACTGCTATAAATAATAGCATTGAAGATCAATACCTCATTATCAAAAGCACATGTTCATTAGAAAGCATGCCACTTGAGAGCTTTACACTGCAGGGACAGTCACTGTTCCCAGGGACCGCAGGCTCTTCTACACCTGTCAGACCTCACTTTCTCAACTTTAGGATGACAACTTTTAATATAAGTAACATTTAGTGCCTTTTTGCCATTTTGGCCATTTCTAACCCAGTAGTCCCAAATATGGTTACATGCATGTCTGCTTTTTTTCCCTACTCATTTCTACTATAGCTATTCCTGATGATGAAACCAGTGATAAACTAACAGCGAGTGAACATAAACACACAGGAGGAAAAGGAAAAGGTACAGTTTCCACCCTAGACTCCCAACCTTAGCTCTCTAATGTAAGATAAACACATGAAATGGCCTGCAATGCAATGGCTGACGTCATGGCAACTTGAGCCTCACTTGCTGAGTTAAAATCCAGGTTCATCCGCTCTCCGGATAAATAACCTCAGGCATATTTTTCTCTTCGTATAACTATTTCCTTATCTGTGCAATGAGAATATTTCATACAGTTTCTACTGGAGACAAATTAACTCATTCCCACTTAGATCTAAGAAAACGGTCTGCTCTATCCAAATCTACAAAGCACATTGGACTATTATTAACTCATTCCAAGACTTAACCTGAAAAGCAAGTTATAAAATAGATGGTAAACTAACACAATACCTAATGGTTGCAAATCCTTTAACCGGGCAGTATTTACCAAGGGCTTCCTTGGCTTTAGGCACTAATCTAAACACAGAAACACAACAGTAGGACCAACAAACATTCTACTTTGGGGCCTGCACTCTGCTGGAGAGACAGAAAATGTACAAAGTAAGCACTAAAATGTCATGTTTCCAGTAGTGACAGCTGTTAAAAATGAAAATCATTTTAGAAGAGTAAAATACCATGTGTCCTACTTTGGTTAAGTTAATCAAGGACCCCTTGTCAAGTAACATTTGTTTTTCCTCAAGTCAGCTAAAGAAATGAAGTAGAACATTCTAAATGTATAGTGTCAATACCAGTTTCATCATATTTGGCACTCACTAATTTTTAAATACAAATAACCTCTGACGTGGCATAGCCAGTACTCTCATAAAAACCAGGGCAATGACAAATGTCTGCCTGTTATTTCCTTAATGCTTTTAGAAAACATGTCACTGGGACTAGAGAGGTGGCTCAGCACTTGTGATCTCAGGCTGCTCTTGTAGAGGTCAGAGGTTGGGTTCCCAGTACCCATGTTGAGCAGCTCACAAACACCTCTGCCTACTGCTGCAGAGGGTCCAATGTCCATCTTCTGGTCTCCAAAGGCAATGAATTCATGTGCGTAAACTCACACATAGACACACTTAACATGTAATTAAAGATAAAGACAAAACCTTTCAAAGGAAAACAATCACTTTAAAGTTATTTTCATTAAGAAACATTAATAAAGCTATGATAATGCTTCCTGCCAGCCTGGTCCCAGTGCTGCATTAGCCCCAAATAACACACAGAGATGCTATAAGTTATAATGCTGTTGGTTGGTGATTAGGATTTCTTATAGGCTAGGTCTGTCTTAAGTATTAACCTGTAACTACTAATACATGTATTTCTACATGGTCTTATTTACTAAGAACGCCATACACATGTGTCCTCTCTTTCCAGGATCATATGATGACTTCTCTCTTACTAAGCTACACAGAATTCTCCTTGTTCCCTAGTCCTGCCTATCTTACTTTCCTATTTGTCAACAGTGTTTTATTCATCAACCAATAAGAGAAACATATGTACAGAAGACTTTCCCCATCAAAAGTTCATACTATGGAGAATTTTTTAATCATGGTATACAACAAGAAAATCATTGTTTATACCTTTTTTATTAAATTAAAATTATGCCTTTTAATGTTTTTTAATCTTTTCTATACACACAAATACAGAAATGCTTCTGGGAACCATTAGGACTTAGAGGGTGAAAGATGTGTACAGTACATACCAACATTAAACCTAAATCTTTGACTATAAATATGGATTTTTTTCTACTTCAAAAAGTACAAATAGTATTTCAATTGCATACATTCTGCAGTTTCTTAATCCTTAAATAAGTATGACTTGTCATGTCTAATTTTTATTTGCATTCCTTAGGCCTAGCTTTATGTAAAATGGTTTCGTTGGCTGCGTTAATGGCATTTCAAGGCCTTTGCCTGTCAAGTTGGTTATTTCCATGCTCAGTGCCTTGGGAGCCCAGCAGTTC